ACACCATCTCTAATGTGACAGGGCGGGTTTGTCTTCATGTCCATTCAATCTTTGATATCTTTGTGGAGACTGCCAAGGGGGACATCAGTTAGTGCTGGTTGTGATGTTCTTTTATTATACTGTGGAAACCTGTCCAAAGTATTCAGACTGACATCAGACAATTCATTGCACTTAGCAGTCAGATAACCTACTTTCAGTCACTGCCAACCTACTCATAGTCACACTCATGATCTAGATCTGAAAGGTGCTGTATTCTGCTTAATACCCCATTGCTAGTGCCATAATTGAGGTGGAATACCTGAGGGGATGGCATGCAAATTTTATCAGCAGGAGTTTCGGATGGTGAATGTGTTCATGAACAGAGAAATTCCATATTAAGGATTAGGGATGAAGTGAAAAAGAAAAAAATTCCTTACATCCTATTTTTACATGGCCGTTATTTGAAGCATCTCAGGGGCTTGTGATTTATCAGTAGCCCCATTGGAGATAAATTAATAGGAAAGGAGCATATGAGGCAGTCAAAAGTACAGGATACATATTATTTATCCCATGTTTCTGTGATTTATCACTTCCACATATAGGCTGTGTCTAGACTGGCAAGTTTTTCCGCAAAATCATCTGCTTTTGCGGAAAAACTTGCCAGCTGTCTACACTGGCCACTTGAATTTCCGCAAAAGCACTGACGATCTCATGTAAGGTTGTCAGTGCTTTTGCAGACATACTATGCTGCTCCTGTTCGGGCAAAAGTCTTTTTATGAAAGACTTTTGTGCAAAAGGGCCAGTGTAGATAGCAGAGATTTCTTTTCTGCAAAAAAGCCCCGATCGCAAAAATGGTGATCAGGGCTTTTTTGTGGAAAAGCGCGTCTAGATTGGTCATGGATGCTTTTCCGCAAAAAGTGCTTTTGTGGAAAAGCGTCCTTGCCAATCTAGACGCTCTTTTCCGAAAATGCTTTTATCGGAAAACTTTTCCGTTGAAAGCATTTGCGGAAAATCATGCCAGTCTAGATGTAGCCTTACAGTGTACCAATGTATTGATTTTTTAAAATACTATCATAGCTAGTGTGACTGTAAAGACAATCTGATATTACTGACAACAACTCTCTCTACAAATCTGCACAAAGAGAAGGAAACTACAGGCTGGACTTCCCTGGTCTCGCACCCTCGGGATCTAACACATCCCGGACAAGTATGGTTGCCAGGTGTCCGCTTTTGCCCGGACTGTCCATTATTCGGGTACCCCATCGGGTAAAAAAAGCAGAAAATACTCAACAACTTTGGTCTCCCCCCCACCACCTTTTTTTTTTTTGGCTCAACAAAATTTTTTCTGTTTTTTGTGCTGAAGGTGGGAGGGGGGTTTTCTGTATTTTTTATTAAACCATCTGGCAACCCTACGTACAAGGGAGTTTGCTGGACCAGGGGAGGTCAGGGCTCTGCCAGAAGTGCTAGTCTCCTGGCTAGCTCCTCTCCTGGCTATCACTCTGCTCCTGACCCCTAGTGGCTGCCAGATGGACTGTGCCCCAGGCCCAAGGGCTGCAGGGCTGGCTAGGCTGCACTTCCCACTTTCAGGGGCTATTGGGTTGGGCCAGCACCCAGCAGCTGCTGGCTGAACTCTGCTGGTAGCCCCCTCCTGGACTCCCAGCCAACAGCTGCTGTGGGGTGGGAAGGGTGTTGTCTCTGGTCCAGGGTTTTCTGGTCCAGCAATATCCAGGGTCCTGTCAGACCATGGATGTTGCTGGATCAGAAAGTCCTGGACCAGAGAGGTTCAACCTGTACAATAAGCACCACTGCAACAAATAGGCCAGATACCTTGCTGCATAGCAATTTTTACTTACTAGAACTATATAAAACTAATTATGCTAATGATTCTGGTTCAAAAAAGTTTACATATGCTGACAGTCAAGTTTTAATTTTTATACTTTATGGGTCAATCATGTTGTTTGGATGGCTGGAAATACAAGTCCCTTAAACAGAAATGTGCAAGAAACTGAACTGATCAACAGAATCTGGCCTAGAAGATTGTGGTTTAGAAATGAATATACATCGTTAATAATTTCAGCAGTAGATCTGAAAGTGCATTACAAAGAAGGTAAATATCATTATCATGAATATTTATGTAATCAGTAAGCCACAGATAACAAATGGCACATATGCAGCTGGATTGTCCATATTCTAAATTTTAGGTAAGCAAGGGCTGCTCCTCATAACAAACACCACTGCACAAATAGCTTCTAAGACAACTCACTCCCTTTCTCTGGAAAATACTTTTAATCTGCTTACCCTGCCATTGCAAGAGCATGACCGTTAATAGAGAGGGTAGTGTGTTTTCAATCGTTTTATTTTTTTAAACGATTCTTTCAAATAATTTGTAAACACAGATAGGAGCAAATGAGCAATATATGTATGTGCCCGGTTTCAAAGGCATTTGAGTGTGTCAGTAATTTGATATATTGCTTTGTGAAAGCTGTCACACTGGTATTCCACCCGATTCAGCATTGATGTGTCAGCACACTGGCATAATGATACATATATAATTTCTCAGCTTTGGCAGCACATTTTCACCCAGCATCTTAAAACTAGAAAATTAAAAGGGCTGTTTTTCCATTAACATCTTGTGCACCCTCTCTCTGTTAGAGGAGCAGACTCCCAGGCATTCTGAACGAGTTCTATGCCAATGTCTAAAAAGAAAAACCGGTGGTTGTTTTTTTTACTAGCTTCAGAAATGTACAATCCTAAGTAATACATTTGAGGAGATGAGGAAAAACTTGAATACAGCAGATATATCTCAGGGCTCTTTGTAAAGGAAACACAGCCACTCAGTCATCAGCCCAAAGCAGGAAGGTTAAACTTCCAATTCCAAAAATGGCTTTACATGATCAGTAGAGAAATGTCAACTACTGATCAGTTGGATAAAAACACTGCCCAGGTTTCCAATATGGAAGTGGGAGAAGAGCTGGTCAGGATTTTTTCAGCAAACAGATTATACTGCTGATTAGTCAAAACTGAAAGTTTTGATGAGGAAAGGCTTGATTTGGACAGACCTTAATTGGGAAGGTTTCTCAAGTCTAGAATGGCGTTTCTGCTCAAAAAGCACAGAAAGAAAAGCTACGTCTAGACTGCATCCAAGGAACGTGTCAGTTTTTTTGAATTTTTTTTTGAAAGAATGGACGCTCTCTTTCACCATCCCTGTAAACCTCATTCTATGAGGCATAAGAGATGGCTTGAAAGAGCACTTTCTTTCGCAAGTTGGCACCGTGTAGATGTGCCATATTTCGAAAGAGCGTCTTTCGAAAGAAATAGAAAAAAGATACGCAACTTGCGAACCGTGAATTGTGTTTCTTTTTCTGATTTAACAGTGCAGTCTAGACATAGCCAAAGAGAAAAAGAGTCCATTTAGCCTGGTTATTAGGTTCAAGTGGCTCTCCCACATCCCTTGTGAATGCCCTAACCACGGGGTTGCTGGCTATTCCTGACTGACTGACTCTGGTTTGCACACAAAGGTCTCCATTTCAACATGATGTAAAAATGGGGAAAAAATTGAAATCCCAAAAAATGGCCCATTTATTTCTATATGGGAGATAAAAAAAAGCCATCACTGCTAGGCTGCTGTTTGACATCCAACCCAGGTCTCTGGAGGTTGCTATATTCTGATTGCTCAAGTGGCCTGTGTGAAGTGTGTAGTTCTCTGAGTTCAGATCACACTGGAAGAGCATCCATATCACCAATATGGCAGGCAACCCAGAAATACCAAAGCTACATCACAAAATAATAACCAAACAGTTATGTTTCACAGCATCCAAACAGAAAAGTGAGATAAAATATACATTCTTTTGCTGGAAGGTTGCAACATAACATTGACAGTGTTCCCTCTAATTTTTTCCTTTTATGTGTGAAATAATTGTTATGTGCATCAAAGCATATACGGATGTGCACCACCAACAGCAACACATGCTCCTGGCTATGGGAGTTCTGCTAATCAGCTGGGTAGTATTTGAATCTCTTCTGGGTGGCTGCCCAAGCGTTCACCTTAGGGTACACTGAACATTTCCTTATTTCTTACTATTCTGAACAATGTCACACAGGAACCCGCTCCAAAATACCAAACCCAAACAAACCAAACCAGAGAGATACAAAGCAAGCTGCACCCTAAAACAGAGAGGCACAACTCAACCCACTTTCCTCTAGGCTAGCTGGCTGCAAACACGCTTTCCTACAGACCACCTTAGCATGCAAGCAAGACAAAGACACCCACTGTACATTAAAGGGACAGCATGTAATTTTTACCACAGTTTTCCACACAACACATTCACAACTGACACTAATAGGCAAGCACGCAGGATGGTTGTCTCAGCGAACACCATGGAATGGTCATGTACAATTAAATGTCTTCTTAACTCTTGATATGGTTGCTACAGACCGAGGGTGACGCAGTCTGAGGAAGATTGAATTACTGTTGCTTCCCGGGATCTCAATACAGTATTTTCATAAAGCACTGAATTTTCCCCAAACAATGAGCAAAGATTATAAATAAAGCTGCCCATGTATATTTTAAAATAAGAAATGGAACAGACAACAACCTGCAGCTTCTCCATACCTGGCTACAGGTGTCAAACATTAGATGCAAAGAACCTCCTTTCCATAAAATGCCTGATCACAGGCTCACAGCTAGGATTTACATAGAGTTCTTTCCTCCTTATCCAATACCATCGCCTTTTCCCAGTTGAAATGAAGTGGAGAAGCAAAAGACAACAGTCATGTTGGACAGGCTTCCACACCTCACTAAGTCTTCCACTATTTTGCCTTACCCTCCTCTGAATACAGGCTTTCAATCCCTTTTATTTATTTGCTTCAAGAATTATTTAGGTGCTTAAAGAAAACAAAAACCACCATCTGGAACAGAAATGGTCTCTAAAAAGCCAGGACAAGCATATGTGTGGGTGTTTACTTTGAAACAATGTATTTCCAAAAGATGTAAAAAACAAAACAAAACTGGCATTTCTTACCAGAGGTAAACAGATGGGTTTCCACTATATGTATTAGCATGGAGGAAACCTATCCCAGTACAATGTCTGCAGTTTGCCAAGGCCTCATTCCAGACCTCAGTTTGACAGCTGGCTCCCCAAGGACTAAGCAGCCTGGAGCTCCTCTAATATATAAGGCTGCCTGCACTGCTGCTAAATCAACACATCTTCCTTTCAATTAAGTTCACCAGTTTGACATCCCAGCGTGATACCTCTCTCCAGGGCAGACTGCAGAGAGAGACAGTACACTCTGGTGTACTCTGCGGAACTCAGCAGTATTATGATGTGTTAATCTCCATGGTTGCCAGCAACAACAGAGGTAGCTTAGAAACCCTACCCATTGCGGAATAGTGGAATATCATCTAAGAGGGATGAGCATTACAATAAATCTGAAATTGGTGTTTGATAATTGTGCTATATTGTGGCAGAATACAGTACAATCCACCAACCATTGTTAAGTATATATACTCTTCTATACAAAAGCAGCCAACATATGGCAAGTACATTTGCCATTCTGTACTGTATTAGGTATTCATACTGTTCCTGAGAAATACAGTAATGTCCTTTAGCTAACTGTCATCTGAAGAAGTGGGTTTTACCCACGAAAGCACATGATACCATCTACATGTTTTGTTAGTATTTAATGTGCTGCTAGACTATTCGTTGTTTTTTGAGTTTTTCCACTTACAAACTAACTCAGCTACCCCTCTGAAGTGTTTATATTATGTTCAGTCATACAGTTTTTGTGACACCACATGTTGTACAGTGGGGCAATGAACAACACACTTCCAAAGAGAACCAGAATACATTTTCACTGCAAGCTGACAGCAGACAGACATGGATTCATCTTTACTCCATTGAAGCTGAACACCATACAAAATTCAGAAGGAAAGAGGTTTCTTCCTCCATATAGAGAAGTGTTTAATGCTAGTGGAAAGTAAGTATCAGATAGCATTTGAGATTGAAACTTTCCCTTTATTCACAGAACTTGTATAATATGCTTAGAAACAGGACCCTAAGTGGTTGCACTAATATATTGTGTTGTATCCTTGTTCTATGGCCACCTCTGTGAGTGAAAGTTAATCACTTGGTTCAATCTATCATCACCACTGGCCTTTGCCTGAATCTTCTTGAGGGTATCAGTGTCAGCTGTGAACATGTTTTTTGTGACTGTTGATTGTAAACTGGCTTAGTCCATTGACTTATTCCACGTAGGCCCTCAAACCACTGTCTGACAATAGCTGTTTCATATCACTACTATCCCGGAACACATTGGTGACACTGAGTTAAAAGCTCAAACATTCACTGTTGAGTCTTAGGGAAAATGTTCTTTCCTGGGTGATTGTTCTGATAGCCATTGGGTAGAATTAAGTACAGTAAAAATTCATGCTAGCATCACATGAGGGCCTGTTCTAAAATCAACCTATTAGGTAGGTGACAATATAGTTGCCTGGGAAGAGAGTGGAGAAATATTTTTGTTTCTATCGCTAGACTGTTTTTCAACATGATGGTTGCTGACGAAATACAAACAGAGCAGCAGGAGGAAAACATAGTACTGACATTATAATTAGAGATGGTCCTGAGCTACAGTGTGCAATCTTTGGATACATAAACAAGGGTAAACATTGGTAGTGGACTAGTGCGTTACATTCTGCTCTCCATGTGTCTATGGCATTAACCATGGCTGTTATCATTAGACCTGGGTACATATCAGATCAGATCTGAACCCTAAACTTAGGGTACATCTAGACTACATGCCTCTGTCGCCAGAGGCATGTCGATTAGGCTGCCAGACATAGTAAAATGAAGCGGCGATTTAAATAATCGCCGCTTCATTTAAATTTACATGGCTGCCGCGCTGAGCCGACAAACAGCTGATCAGCTGTTTGTCGGCTCAGCGCGGCAGCCATGTAAATTTAAATGAAGCGGCGATTATTTAAATCGCCGCTTCATTTTACTATGTCTGGCAGCCTAATCGACATGCCTCTGGCGACAGAGGCATGTAGTCTAGATGTACCCTAAGTTTAGGGTTCAGATCTGATCTGATATGTACCCAGGTCTAATGATAACAGCCATGGTTAATGCCATAGACACATGGAGAGCAGAATGTAACGCACTAGTCCACTACCAATGTTTACCCTTGTTTATGTATCCAAAGATTGCACTGGCCCTTTTTGCTACAGAATCACATGGCGGGGGAAGGGAGGCTGATATTGGGTTGTTTGTTCGCTATGACCCCAATTCTATTTCAGAGTCACTGTTTCTCCCCATCCTGACGTAGGACCTGAATTTCTTGTAGCTAGATGTATAACTTTGAATTTGGCTTCTTTAAAACACATTTTGTTTGAGTGGGCCTAGCTTATCAAGCATTCTCAATCATGCTGTATCACTGGCCTGTTCTCACTGTTATTTACCACTTCACCAATCTTCATGTCATCTGCAAATCTTATCAACACTGATTTTTATATTTACTTCAAGATCACCGATGAAAATATTGACTAGTATTGGGCCTACAGTCCCTGCAAAACTCCCCCATTCAATAATTAATCCCAATTGACAACTACTTTTTTACATTATCCATGAGTTATCATTATCCTTGAGTATTCAGACCCCCTACTAGCTATTAGTTAAAACCATCTTAACTCTCAAAAGTTGTACTATTTTAATGTGAATAATATTTTAGATGAAAATTCGGGCTCTCTTCCTCAGCCGGTCCTTCCTGTGCTTCTGTATCCCTATTGAGCTAATTAGCTCACCCAGCCCACCAGCCTGATCAGTTAATTACTTTTAATTATCCCAATCATCTTTTTCCAGGGAACAAATGAGTGTCAAAGTGATCAGAATGCAGGCTTAGCTGTTTATTCCCTGCACTCTCTCATTGTGTCCACACAATAACTAGTAAATAGCTATAGTGGACATAGTACTTAGTGTGAAAATTTGTTCAGGTTCTTTGGTAACAATGTAGGAATAATGAATGCATTGGAAGAATAAAGATCAGTTCACAAATGACTAGCTAACAAAAAGAGGGGCTATGTCAGTAATGAATATATTTGAGATTGAACAGTTCAACTAGCTCTCTCCAACAGATGTGTAGTAGCCATGGAAATTACAAAGTACAGTGTGGTCATAACTTAAATTAAACATTGTTAATATTACAACACAGAGCTGTTTTAATAGAGTCTTACTGAAGTGGACTTTTAAAAAAGATAGTCCTAAAACATTATCTAGAAAATACCAATTAGTATACTCTAAAGACTCTTCTTTGGTAACTTCCATCAGCATCAAAATAGATGCTTAAATGAATAAATGCATTAGTTATGCATCAGATCATGCCATCAATTTTGTTAAGTATCCAAATGTTGGAACAACTGATATGATCAGAGTCTTTTCCAATGTGAATCAGAAGTAAAGCTTGTAGATTCTTAACTGAACAAGAACGAATGTGCCTTTTGAATTATTTTTTCAACACCAATGTGACTTAGGAGCCTTAGAGTAATCGGTACATACTATATAAATAATATAAGCAGAAAGGACAATCCATTTAAAAAAAAACCAGGTTAATGACAAAATTCACCATCTCCTTGCATCGTATGTAGTCATTTACACCACTGCAAAATGAGTGCATAACATTACCCAGTTAGGATTATTGTGTTTTGCAGTAACTTTGCAAAGCAATGGTGAATCAGACTTCACGTCTAGAATAAAAACAGACCTTGCAGTTCTTCCAAGAGCCTGTTTCAGCTGACATTTTCCATTCAAACAGTCAGTTTGGTCTCTGGGTTGGAGATTAGTCATGTCACGATTCCAGAGGAGTTAAAGAAATCAACACATTCCAGAAGTGATTCATTGAAAGAGGTTTCAATGTCATTTGCATATGTTTTAACCCCAAGCAGCAACAATCATCTCAGGATTTGCCTTTGTCTTTGTAATATGTAATTGTAGTTTATTTTTCCAGCTATCCAAACTGTACATAATTAAAGTCATATCGAGCAAACGTTGAATGGTATGAAAAGTTTTGGCATATGTGTACAATTTATTATCTGTAGAATTTGGCATCCTTGGCAGCATTTAAGAAAAAAAAAACTGGCCTGATTTTGTGCATACGTAATGCTCTTTGAAGCATTTTGTTTTTCCATACAAACTATGACTTTTGGTGACACATTTAACCATTTCCTTCTCTATAATTGTCCCCTCTTGCATTACGATTTACATGGAGAGAAAACAAAACCTGAAAACATGTTCTGGCAACAAGAGGGCTTTTCAAAAAGCTCAATCAGGGTGAAGAATTTACTATAATTCATTGGCATGCTAGCCTAGATACATGCACACACAACCAGCAGTATGTAGACTAACTTCATACAGGTTTGACCTCCCTGTTTTGGCACCTTTGGGACCTGACCAGTCCCAAACAGGAGAATTTTCCAGACCAGAGGAGGACCCCTGCCACCTGCCCCTGGCCTGCTACCCTTCCCTGCTTCTGCCCTGGCCAGCCACCCTGCCTATGGACTGTTTGAGCTACCAGCCCTGGCCAGGCTGCTGCCGGCCATGGCTCCAACTGGGTTGCCAGACACTGGCTGTGACCCTGGCTGGGGTCTTCAGCCCCACCATCACTGGCTCTAGCCTGGGCTGAGCTGCTGGACACCTGCCACTAGGCTTCTGGCCCTGGGGCTCTCTGCTCCAGGAATATCCAGGTCCTGCCAGAATTTGCTAGCCAGAGAATCACAGTTTGGGGAGGTGCAACCTGTAGTCAATAAGTGGCAAAGCCCGTTCTCAAAGTGCTCCCAAATAACTGGGCTTTGTTCTAGGGAGATCTGTGACACCTTGTCCCTTTGTGGGGGTGGCTGGGGACTCCAGATAATTATGGCTCCATTGGCAGTACTCCTACCCCTGCCTGATCACAACTGCCCTTTCCAATATGTACACAGGAAACTTCTCAGAGCTGGCTCTGTAGCTCACAAAGTCTTCACTGCTAAAAGACTTCACCACTTTTACATCAGGTTGGCGATCTTGATGGCTTTTTCAGTGTAGCCCGCCGAAGAGTTCACACTCTTGAGACCTGATCATGACCTTATTTGTATTGATTTTACACTGATATAACTCCACTGACAGGGTCCACTGGCTCAGTCAGAAGTTGAAAAAGGTCTGGGTTCTTCTAGTCATCCCACTTTTGGCCACTCCCGAAGAAAAATCACTATGCTAAGTAATTAATGGTTTGGAG